TCACGTCTTGTGCTGGTCCCCGTGCCTGCGGCCCCATCGATCCAATCGCTTCTGAATCGAGTGTCTGAAGTGAACGTGGTGACAGGCTGTCTGGTGACATGTCCTGTCCACTGGCAAGTGCCACACAGGCTCCTTGGGGAACGGCAGAGTTCCACTAACAAACATCCTGCCTGGCTGCTCGTTTTAAGACGTCACGTTTCCCTGACGTACACGCTGCTGGCCGCGGTCACGTTTGTCTGAGTCCCGGAACGTGACGTGCTCAGAGGGGCCTGTGACATGGGCAGATCCAGGGGTTCAAACCCAGTGGCGTGAACACCGCCACGTGCCCGCAAATCCGAAGACTCACACTCTGCAAGGCTCCGGGGGACGGGCCGAGCCTGGGGCGGCGCGCCCTGTGTCACCCACATGTCTATGGGCCTGGCCCACCCAGCAGCTTGCACCTGGGGGCGGGACAGCAGTGGGGGCACCTGCCTCTCCGGGCAGGGGGCTGGGCCTGCGACACTGACTGGCACATGGCAGGCCCAGTAGCATGTCCAGGGTGGAGGTTGGGCCTGCGTCCCTCGGGCACTCTGCGGGCGCCCCCGACTGCTGACGTGTGTGTGTGGCACCCCATCCCCGCCCGCCCCTACTTTATCCTTCCGCACTAACCACCCCACGCACGCGCACACGTCACTACCACCGAACCGTCACTGCACGTGGGCCGGAGAGCGCAGCGGGGTCTCCTCCCGGCTCCCCGCCGGCCTCCGTGGGCACCGCCACGTGGCCAGCCCCGTGCCATTCATCCTCCTTCCTGTCCCTGCTTGGAGCCCGGGCTGGGCGACTTGACGTGCTGGACGTCATTTATTTATTGCCTCTCTCGCCTCCTGACTGGGACAAAACGGACGTGGAGGCAGGACTTTTCGTCTGTTCTGTTCACTGTGTTACCCCGAGCCTAGAGGGGGCGCTCAACAAACACTCGGTCCACGACCGGCGGATGAATGAACGGACCAAGGAACGCACAGACGAGTGCGCTTCCACCCAGGCCCCTGCATTTCCATCCGCGGGCCGCGTGCACTGGGCCAGGCCTCCCCTGCTCCCTACCGTCCTGAGGGGTCTGCTGGAGGGAGGGCAGACCCTCGCTGCGGGCACCGTGACAGGCCCTGCGGCCAGCACAGTCACACGGACGGGTCCTGTCAGCTGCCAAGAGGCTCAGGGGCCGAGCGCCATTCCCCGAGGGCCTCGAACATGGGAAGAGTTTTGAATGCACATTTTGGAACTCCGTGAGCATCTGACTGTTTACAGACGTCTGTCTGTTGTCTATATACCTACTTATCATCAATCTATCCATCATCTATCTATCATCTGTCTGTCTGTTTATCTACACAGCTGACCCTTGAAGAACGCAGGTTCGAACAGCGTGGGTCCACTTATATGGGAATTTTTTCAGTAAGTATTGTAAATGTATTTTCTCTTCCCTATGATTTTCTTAATGACATTTTCTTTATTTTAAGAATACAGCATATAACCCATGTAACACGCAAAATATGTGTTTATCGACTATTTATGTTATCGATAAAGCTTCCCGTCGACAGTCGGTTATTAGTAGTTAAGGTTTGGGGAGTCGAAGGTTTTATGAGACTTTTCGACTGGGGGCTGGCACCCTAGGCCCCTTGTTGTCCAAGGGCCACGTGTGTGTGTGCACGCGTGTGTGCATGCAGGCGCACACGGATGTTCACACACATGCTTGTGTGTGCTTGTGTGTGCATGTGCATGTACGTGCGCGCAAGCATGTACATGTTGCATGCATGTGCACTGTGTGTACATGTTTGTATGTGTGTGCATGCTTGCATGTGTGCATGTACATGTGCTTGCACGTGCGCGCATCTGTACGTGCATATGCGTGCACGCGCACGTGTGCTGTGTGCGCACGTGCATGTACATGTGCACACACACGTGCATATGCGCATGTGTGCGCGCATATGCACATGTGTGCGCACGTACGCTTGTGTGCATGTGTGTGCCTGTGCACATGTGTGCGTGCACGCATGCGCTTGTGTGCATGTGTGCGTGTGCACATGTGCATGTGCGGGTGTGTGTGCACGTGTGCATGTGTGTGCGTGTGCACGGTCTGCCACACGGGCCACGCTCAGCAGACGCGCGATACTCACATGCAGCCACGGAACCGAGTCAGGTCGTTGTTCGGCTTCTCGCACTCGATCACGCTGGTGAACGTCAAGGGGTTGAACTCGGAGACCTGGAGCGGCAGCAGGACACGTTAGAGGAATCGGCTGACGTGTGCGCCCCAGAAGGTGCTCGCCCTCCGCCCTCGTCCCCGGCAGGGCGTGTCGGCACGCACGGCGCTCGGCCCGGCCCCCGCTGTCACGCGCGTCGGCTCATCACCGGGGCCCGAGGAGCAGCCCCTGCAACAGCACTGGTGAGCAGAGCAAGCGGCCGGAAGCCCGCGGTGCCAGCAGAGGCAGCCAGTGACGATGGAAGGGGCGGCCGAGCCTGCGACGGTTCAGAGACTTCCGGCTCCCTAAACAGATCCAGAGAAGCAAGTCCCACCCGGGACACAGAAACTTACAAGAGAACATCATTTCTTCAACGTGCACTGAAGATTCTTCACAGATATCTGATGAAAAGCATTTAGATAACCAAGGTGTGAGCCAACATTATTCCGCTTAATGGGAAAAATGACAGCTCTCCAGGAAGAGAGTCCTTCCCCTGGGAGTCTGCCCTCCACAGATGTGCTGCACGAAGCACCGGGCGTGGGGGCGGGGGGCAGGAATAAGCCTTCGGCGTGTATGGCTGACCACGACTCGCGGATTTGTATAAATCGGCTGTCTTATCGGGCTTCCTTCCACTCTCCTGCTCAGCCAGGGTCCCAACACGGTAAAAATGGAACTGTGTTTGCGCACACGAGCGTGTCGCCGCAACACTCGTGCCAGAGATTAAAGGTCACCGAAGGGGCATCATGGCGCCGACACCCCGGGGCGATGCTCCAGCAGCAGGCGGGGACCACCCAGTCAGTCCTGTTTCCGGCAGCTCGGTGCGTGAGACGGACAGCGCGCTCTCTGGCAGCGGCTCGGTTCAACAGCTGGATTAAACAGTTTTCAAGGCTTTTCCCGAGTTTTAATGGGCCACCAGCCCTCGGCCGCAGCCTACAGCACCTCCCTTTCCAGAGTCTGGCTATCCCCACTCAACCAGTTCCCTAGGCACCGATAGTTACCAATAATTCTAATTAATTATTTCAGCAACACCTAATACCGAGTGGCGTGAAGAACGGTCTGTGAGCTTTCTGTCCTCAGATTAATGCTGTAGGCGTAGACACTTACCCGCAAATAAGTAAATACCCAGCCCTCGAAGGCACTGCTTCTGGACAACAACACCCACGCTATGTTTGTGTTGCGGTATAATCGACATAGAGCGTTGTATTAATTTCTGCTGTGCAACGTGACTTGATGTCTGTACGTACTGGAAATAAGCACAGTAAGCGCAGTTAACATCATCGCCGCGCGTAGCTGCGCATTTTTTCTGGCGTCGAGCACTTTTAACGTCTGCTCTCCCGGCGACCTTGAGACACACAGCACAGCATCGTTCGCTGCAGTTGCCAGGACTTGTTTACGTCACAACTGGGAGCTGTGGCTGTCGCGGTTCTCGAGGGCACCACGGCGGGCTGCAGCGCCACCTCCGCGATGTTTCGGTGGCTCCCTAACGGCCGGCCTTCGTGCCGAGTGCTGTGAGGTCGGCGTCCACACTGCCTTTAACTCAGAGTGTTTTGGGACTATGCCCAAGGTCACGCGCAAGGTCGAGAGGCCTTCTGGTGACTAGTTCCTTAGACATCCAACTCAGCCCTCGACGCTGAGACTATCTTGCATTTACAGGAAAAGATGACACTGTGTTTGATAAGCCAGAAAGCACATAGTCGAGTCTTCAGACATTTCCGAAGACGCTTAAAAATATCTTACGGTTTCCACATTTACAAATACGATTCAGTGTGCCTGGCCTGAACCCCCGCTTGTCTCCAGCAATGTCGTGGATGTGGAGTTAGCACAGTGCACCTCAAAATGGGGTAAGAATCAGGAGTCCTGGGGGTTAATCCTTGTTCTTCCGATTAATAAAGGTGACACTTTGGTGAATGAAGACAGGGCCCCAGACCTGAGTCTCCGAGGTCTCTGGTGCCCTGTGAACCCACAACTCCACAGCCTGCTCCCTCTGGGGCGGGGGCGCTCCCCCTACTGCTCAGCACCCCTCCGGGTAGAACAGGCCCCTGTGCAAGTGCTCTGTCCCCGTCACCTCACCGGGGGGCCTGGCTCTGCTTCGGCGGTGCCTGGACTGCGGACCGAACGAACGTCCACCCACAGCGAAGGTCGTCTCCAGCCTTGCTGTCACGTCAGCGCTAAATGAGGTGCTAACGAAGGCTCAGTCAAAGCAAAAGCGGCCTCTTCCGCCCCACGCTAGAACAGGCCCCTGTGCAAGTGCTCTGTCCCCGTCACCTCACCGGGGGGCCTGGCTCTGCTTCGGCGGTGCCTGGACTGCGGACCGAACGAACGTCCACCCACAGCGAAGGTCGTCTCCAGCCTTGCTGTCACGTCAGCGCTAAACGAGATGCTAACGAGGGCTCAGTCAAAGCAAAAGCGGCCTCTTCTGCCCCACGCGGGAGCAGCGATGCCCGAAAGGACGTGTCCCTCAAAGCAGACACCGTCATTTCTCTCACAGAAGCAGCGAAACGCACCAGTTGATGCTTATCTTTAGCCTGGCTGCGGGTCAGGGTGGAGGGTTCCGGCTGGGCAGCAGGTGATCTGGCCGTGGATGGGATAAGCAGGGCTGCAAGCCGGGTCTGCCCCTCCTCCATGGGAGGCTTTGGTCCCTGGAGGACAGGGTCACAGAGGGGCCTGGCGAGAGGCCGCACAGAGCCCGACAGCGCCTGACCTGCACCGGCGACGAGGCCTGGGCAGCGTGGCCCCCTGTGGCCCCCCGTCCTCCGCTCCTGGGGCCGTCCTGACGACGCCCTTTCATTGCCCATCAGGATGTTCCTGGTCACACGGGGACATGGGTTCCCTCTGCCCGCAGCCCCACGGCTCCGCCCAGCCCTCCGAAGGCTGAGGGCCAGGTCAGCTGCTGTCCGCTGGCACCCTCCACCCTGACCCAGCGGCCAGGCTCTGTCCAGAGTCCTGAGCTGACCTCTCCGCTGCCCCTCCCGGCACCTGTCCTGCCACGCGGGGAGCCTGGGGAGGCACACGACTTCCTCTGTGTCCCCCACCTGGCCGTGACAGTCCCTGGCCTAGGTGAGGCAGGCAGGGCCCCCACACATGTGCCCGGCTAGAGCTGGCGCCATGGCCCTGTCACTGGACCTCAGTTCCCCCGGACAAGGACAGAGCCTGGTGCACACGTGGCCCAGAGTGACAGAGGCTCGCTCCAAAAGGACATCACGCACCACAGCTTCGTGCTCGGCTCCGGGGCCTGGAGCTCGTGCTTGCCGGACGCCTGCTCCCCCGCCACGGGGGCATGTGGGCCGGCCAAGGTGGCCGCCAAGGCTTCTCAGATGTCCAGAAGCACAGACCCTCTGTGGCATGTGTGAGCACATTCCTCTCGCCAGCAGCACAGACGACCGCTTCATAGCCTCTACGGCGGCTGCTTATTTACTGCCAGAAGGCGAGCGATACCTGAATTAATTCGGGCAAAGAGTTTCACCCACATTAACGAAACAGCTGCCCCGACTCGCGTCTGGCACCCGCCCTCCGCTCTGTGCCTGTGGCACGCCTGTCGGTGCCATGCGGATTGCAGAGAGGCGGACAGCCCGACCCTGAACGAGCAAACAGATGAACCTACTTCATTACCGCGAAGATCATATCTTCAGTTAACCTGAAGTGGGAAAGACAGCGTCGGCCTCGTCTACCGTGGTGTCCCCCGGCATATAGTGGGCGCTCGGTCAAATAAATCTGAATGAAACTTGGGCATACTGGCAGCAGGAGACATCAAACATGTAAGGAGCCTTAAGTCAAAGTAATCTTTTCTCCAATAGGTTTTACAGATTCAAGGTCACACTGGGAGTTTATGCCCCGGTTCCGATGGAAATAGAATAGGAATGATCACAAAACACGTTTAAACCGTGGTACAAATAGCTGTGACTGCGTTACTGAACGTGTCCCGCATGCATAAGCGGGCGGGCACAGCAGGCCACCCACATGCAGGGGCCCATTCCGGCCACCAGCAGGTGTAGACCGCTGGATGGTTGGTCACCACAGGTAGGTGAGGGCTACCCTGTCCTTCTACTCGGAGACTCAGGAGCTGCACACAGACGCCCTCGTCGGGGGAGCCTGTGCGCATGCGGGGGTGTGGCAGTTGACCAGCCCAGTCCTGAGCTTACAAACCGCGTGCAGACACATCGAAGCGTCTGCTCTCTGGGGCTCGAGGGAGGCCCATCCCCACCTAAGTGACACGACTTCCACAGAGGCTGGGGTGGGGGTGGTGTGGCGTAAGCCACCCTGATGGAGGACCCAGAAAGTGGCTTTACTGCAGATGGACAAGCTAATTTGCCTGGTCCCGGCGTGGTGACAACGCCGTGGGGCCCCTTTGGGCACGTCCTCGGCCCTTTTCACAGCACAGACCGTCCACTGGTGATGGCGGAAAAGCCCTGGTTTGTTTCTGTTCGGCCTTAACCCGATCTGGGCTTAAAACTCAGCCAGGAAGCACAGCTGCCTCCACACCCGGGAGGCGACAGTGCTTTCTGGAGCTCGCTGGCTTTCGTGCACGCCATTGTGAGTGTGTAGGTGTGCACGTCTGCCTCTCTGCGCCCTGTCCCTCCGTCCTGGGGAGGCGGAACCCTCAGTGACACCAGTACCGAAGCGAGGACCGACGGTCCACTGTCCACGTGCAAACTGGCAGCTCAGACGGTCCCTGGGCACCCCTGGCACAACGCGGAAGCAGACGCCTACAAATTTGGACGCCTACGTCAGGGTGACTCGAAGGATCCAGATGAGGGCGGAAGGGCACGGGGGCTGGTCACGTAAGAACGGGGGTGCTCCCTCTTGTTGGGGGCTCTGCTCATGAGATGAGGGGCAGAGACACAACACAAGGCACAGATGCCCCGTCAAGGAACGAAGTGGGCACGCGGCACCCATCACCTAATGCGCGAGGTGCACAGTAGGTGCTCAAGAACCAGACCGGAGATTCCGCTCTGGGCACACGCTCAGCACACCGGTCTGCTTCTAGAATGTTGTGTGTCAGCCCAGGAAAGAACAGGTGTCCCGTCCTACAGTCCTATCAGGGAGTGACAGCCCATTAAAACTACATCACTCAAACCTGCTCATACACACACACATGTCTGCACACACACACACGTACACACACATGTCTGCACACACTCATAGCGCGCACACACACATGCCTGCATACACTCACGTACACACACACGCACACACACACACACGTGTCCGCACACACACACTACAGTCCTATCAGGGAGTGACAGCCCATTAAAACAATATCACTCAAAGCTGCACACACACACACGCTCATGTACACACACACACGTACACACACGTGTCCGCACACACACACTCAAATGTATACACACACATGCCTGCACATACACACTCAGATACACACACACACCCCCAAACCCTTTGGACTGCTGATGCAATTCAACTCATTAAATTCCTTTTTTTCTTCACAACGAAAACACAGCCACAGAGAAAACTAGCCTGTCACGTTGTCCAGCACCACGACAGGAAGAAAAACCTATTGTCTTAGTTGTCATGTTCCTGGGGGAAAAAGAACGCCCACTTTTGGCCACACGGAGTACGTGAGGTTAAACGCACACAAGGGATTCTGGAGTTTTCGACGGCGGGCAGCACAGTCCGGCCGGTCGCAGCTTCCATGACAGTGCCAAGGTCATGGCGTGAGCCGTCTTCGGGAGCCCGCGATGCTTCGGCCTCTACAAGCGAGCACGGGGCGCGGGCCACAGGTTCAGGGAGGGGTCGTGGGCAAACAACCAACATAGGGGGGAACCTCATCACACAGCCACACTCACGGTCCCCGGGGAGCAGACACGGCCACCACGACGCAGGGCACGTCTCAGAAAGTTACATCGCGCCGCCGACCTGCCCTGGGGCCGGACCTGAAACTGCCGTTTAAACGGTTACTGTGTCGTCTCAGGGATCTGCCTCCGGTCTCTCCCGCTACAGAGTCACTGTCCTCGGTCCCTCCCGCTACGCAGTCACCGTCCTCGGTCCCTCCTGCTATGCAGTCACCGTCCTCAGTCTTTCCTGCTACATAGTCACTGTCCTCTGGCAAAGATACGCGAGCGTTAAATGAATCTGACGGTGAAAACGCCCCACGAGGTTAACTGTGGGCTTCGTGACCGAACTTCCACGCGCTAAAGAAAACTGAGTCGTCCCCGAAGGCGCGACGTGGGCCACCCACCGAGCACGCCCGCCCGCTGCTCGTCCTCCACCGGAGGACACAGGCTCCAGGGGA